CATTATCCAAGACAACACTTGTTGAAACACAAAAGCAACACTTGGAGGAGAAACATAAGAAAAAATTGAACATATGGATAAGAAGCAAAAACTAGAATTAGCATATATGAAAGAAGAACATGAAGCCAGGATGGCAAAAATATTGAAATCTGAAATATAAATATTTGAGATTTTAAAGATGTGGAAAAGTAATTGTCTCTTGTATCCTCGTATTCCATAAGAAAATTGAATATTAAGACAGTGAAAAATTAATTTTCTTAGCTAAGTATTTTATAAAACTGTTCATATTGCATATAGGAAATGAAAGATACAAGTCACAAATTTTCCAGGCAAAGCATTTATGGAATTAAAAACAAACATTTTGACCCACTCCACTGTGCAACCGCGTTTAGTTTTAGTTCCTGTTTTGTGTTTGCTATAAGCAATTTTTCATTCTGTTATAAGTAAAAGAAGTAAGTCTAAAACTAAATGTTTTAGTTTTACATAAACCTCTATTATTTTGTTTGTAAACTTTGTTCCGCCAACCTCCGTAAACATTTATTGGTCATTTATAAAAAAGACAAAGAACTGAAATCAATGGACCGTTAAATTTCAGTTAACGTTGGTGAAACGCAAAAAACAAATGAATGTTATGTTATTGTTTAGTATTTTGTTTTAATTTCCAAAAAAAGGCATTTGTACATTAAATAAAACTACTTTTTTGGCATACTTATATATTGTTTTTTAATTGTTACAATTATTTTCTTAAATAAGCATACATCGTGTCAATGTATAAGACTAACATCTTGAAAATGATTCTCTTGATTTGAGAGTAAAGTAAATTTTTTAAGTTCAATTATCATTTTTTGCATGTTATAAAAAATATAAAAGAATAAACAAAATGTTCTCATTGTACTTTGCAATAAATTTTAAGGTAGCAATTTTTTAGTTGGTTTGCAACTTCATTAACATTTCCTATCTGTATAGCTGCCTCAATTTCTTCGTTTACATATGATAATTCATCCCTCATATGAATAGCAACATTATGTATTACTGCAGAAGCAATAACTATCTCTTCGACCTTATCAATATGTAATTTTATACCTAATGCTAAAATAGGAAACCTCCGTTTCCATACGCCAAAACATCTTTCAATAGGATTTCTAGTACGTATTTGGGCTTCATTATACAATGCTTCTGCTGGAGTTCTTGGGTCTTGTAAAGGCGTCATAAGGTAATTTTTTATTGGATACCCTGCATCCCCAAGCAACAAACTACCTTTGAAATTCCATATCTCTTCGCACCCTTGAATTATTAAAAATTGTAGCATCTGATGACGAACCTGGTCATCTACAATGTCCTTTATAATCAATTTTGAATCACAAATGGCTTGCACATTAAATGAAAAATATCCTTTCCTGTTCCGATAAATTTCAGCTTCTTCGCCCCCAGGACTATAAAAAACGATTTTAAAATTATTTCATGCATAGTAAGTAAAAGAAAGTAATGTCTTAATTCTGCATCATATTTTCAGGATATTTGTAGCCATTACCTTACTGTCATAGGTCGGAATTCGAGAGGAAGGTTTTCGATGAGGTGGCAAACTGTTTCTTTTGAAAGACGATACCTTTGCAAAAATTCGGTATCGTTCAATTTTTCAAAATGATTACATCTTTGGCGAAAGTTTTTAGGTCTCCGATGAACTGTATGATTTACCAGTTCATTAAAGTCCTCATCGTCGGTATAATAATACAAATCCATTAATTATGACTTTTCACTTTATTTATTATTATTTTTAGAACTATGGATGGACTTTGTAAGTCAGTTTTTAGTTAGTGTAATAACCATACAGATAAATAAATGGAAATAAATAATATTTAGTCCACGGAAGAATCAATTAAAGTATGGTTATATTTGATAAACTTAGTTTAAACTGCAAAATGTGGTCGGTAAACTAAAACTCTGGTTAAACAAGGAATTTATTTTAAACTACATTGACACAACACTCATTACGTTTTAAACTCCGTTTAATTCTTTCTTAACCCTTCTTTCTACAAACCGCCCTAAGTATTCTATAGTTCACATACCTGGGTCCCTCTATTTCTAACTCATCCCCAATAGCATTTGCAGAAGCTAGAATTTGGTTCATAATAACTTGAGCAGTTTACCGACGAACTTTTACTACCCAACTAACAAAAAATGTTCACAATCAGTAAGTTTTCAAGTTTNCCCATTTGAATTGCCAAATGAAAAATTTATTAAGCTAGTTATATTAGTGTCCAAGTGACATCATACTATTTTTTATCATAATATTAGGTAAGTTTCATTTATATAACTAAGATGCTACGTAGAATATTATGCTTATTTAACAAAAAAATAAAACCTGTATAAAAACAGCTGTAAGAAAATCTAGTAGCCAGATCGCAGTAAACTCGTATTTGACAAAGTGTGTATTTTATTATGTCCACACCCAACGTATAACTAGCTTTTCAGGTTCAATAAAGAACTACATAGTTGAAAATTTAATTAACGAATTAAAGGAATTTATCGAAGAACGAAGAGTTGACCAAGTGCTATTTCACTTACAGGTAAGCACTTACCTATTTATATGTAAGGTATTCGAATTTCGTATTCATTAGTTACATTCAGTTATATTAGTATAAACCCATGGTCTCCAGAATTATAAATAAAATAAATCTTATATTTGCAGTGCTTCTTCTTCCCAGGTATGTTACTCAGTGGATTTTTGTTAAAATGTATATATTGATTTATAAACAACATGCTGGTTATAAAAAAACATTTTATTAAGAAACCAATCCTATAACATATTCTTAAATCAATATAACTAAATTAAACTTGTATTTTTATTAGCCATAGCTGACAAAGCTTCAGCTAACTTAGTAATACTTAATGCCATTTGTTTAATTGCTTCTGCTATTACTTCAGCACTTTTCGAATATAGTTCTGCTGGTTTCTCCAATTGCCTTACTTGTCTAGAATTTTTTGTAATCTTCCTTGACTAAATTCTGCTTGGGTTCTTCTTGAATGCTTGAAGCAGTTTCTAGAAAAAAATATGTTACTTAATAAAAATTGCTTTTGCTAATAATTATTGCCAATAAATTACTGCACATTTATTTATATCATTGAATAAATGCAAATCCGTATACTATACAATTCTTCCATATTAACCTATTGAAGGAACATACATATTAATGTTGTATAAAATTATAATGCGGGAACACTTTTCTCTACTACTATTTGCATTATGTTTCTGAAGTGCCCGATTCATTTGTAAAATGGTTGCACTCTAGCTCTATTAAATATTCTTCCTCATTGAATGAAATATCATTGTCAGTAATAATTTCCATCGCAACTTCATGGGGCCCATTATCTAAAGTCATGTTATGTTGATCATTATCATCTCGATTTACTTCAGGTGGTAAATCATCCCAACCTGTAATTGTTATCCAACCAGTTACTTTTATCAATCTGATTTCTATTCTGACAGATTGTCCACCGTCAGTCAGTGTAAAGTGCATTCCAATTTTACAAACCAAACGAACACGTACCTGAATTTCGTGTATCAGCATAACATAATCTATAACTATTAATTGCAATTAACGTTAAGTGATTTTCGTGATCGTGGAAAGAGAATAGCGAGAAAAAATCGAGATAAGATGAGAAAACAAATCAACAATTTGGCCTCCAGAAAACTAAATAAGCATAAAAAGCGAGCAAATAAAAGCGTGGCTAGTTCAATTATCTAGCCCAAAATTCAAGGTCATCTACTAAAAAATCAAATCGTGCCTTCAGAAGTAAAAAGAAAACTGCTCTTTGCAGAAGTCAATTTCAGATATTGACGAACATATACCACATACCATTCAAAGGTACTTTGAAGACACATGAGATTGTGTGGCAAAGCATTTACCCGTCTGTAGTATTTGTTAGATTAAGCTGTCTAAAATGCTTCACACGTTGCTATCATTATGATCTAGGAACATTTATGTTAGAGTTGTCCGACAAGAACGATATCAGTAGTTCTTCTTAAGTTCTTTTGTATAATAAGCGTCTCCGGGTTGAGGATATTTATTCCTCGGACAGTTATGTTAGTGACGACATTCCTCTTTCTACATTAAAGGAAAGTTTTAAAAATATATATGTATGCTGTAATAAAGATATCTGGAAAAAAATACTTGTCATTATCTGTCTCGTATATTGTCGGTTGATAATAATCAGGAATATAGGGTAATGATCTCATTGATTGATACCAACCCAGTAACTGACAAATTTTAATTATGCGCGCCTAAAGCTGTGAATCAAATAGTTT